TAACCTCCAAACCACCGGTAGGTTAGGTCGTCGTTACCCCATCAAGTACTCGCTGTGTCTCTGATTTCTATGGTACATTCGTATCAAGCATTCAAGATGACTGTGGCTTCATGCGGATATGACGTGTCTATACATGCGCAGTGAGAGCCATGAGGAATTTCGAGGAGTGACGTGAACTCGTATGCAATGAAATACTTTGAAGGTGGATGAAACCATAAGGTAAAAAGTTGCCATTGGTCAATAGTTTAGTGCGTCCTATTTGTGCACGCCACGGTCTTTTGGAGTCATCGGAACCACTCAGCTTGAAGAGACTATCAATCTGTTGTGGTGTCAATCTGTTGTACGGAGTACCCTTTGAAATATACATGGATATTTTTACCCTACGAAGTTACGCACACTCTAACACATTTAATTCTAGGGAGGCGTTTTCATAGCACATCCCAAACTATGCAAAGGGGCATCCCAAGACAGCTCTTCCCCTTCATACGAATCAGAATGCATTGGTATTTAGAATGCGGACGCACAATCGTCCATGTCGATACTTCAGTGACAATCTCTTAACTGGGATCCGAATGTGGGAAACAACGCGATACTTGTCGCGCGTACATCCGAATCAGCCTCTTAAGGTGCCAGGGGTTCAAAGAGTCAACGTTCAACAGTCGCTCTCTACATCTATATCGTGTCAATGCTGATATTCAAATAAGATGTGACCTGGCCTCTAGGTACAATAATATAGAGAAGTAAGAGTGGCTACTGCTTGTTGAGCTGTGACAGAACCGACTTCAGGGAATAAATGAGTGGTACTGTACGAGGCGAATAAAAATCGACTCTCGATGTTCATAAATGGGAATAAATATTCATATATATGCTGGAAGTCTGCACCACTTGCAGCTCCTAAAACTTCACTATGTCGTCAAAGACTGCTGACAGTTATCGGATACTGATGCCTTGGTCAAGGTTCATGATGTTCTACCTGAGGGAATTCCCCATTTGCTGATGTCCTCGCCGGCGGTTCGTTGAGAACTGATGGGTGCCTTTGGAATGCAATGGTACTAACTGTGGCACCATCAACGCTGGATCCTCCATTCAAACGAGTCAAGTGGTTCTGGCGAATGGATAGGATGAGCCATGGTCCCGAAATGCAAAACAGCCCAATATCGACGGCCACGCTGATAGTATCAAGGGTAGTGAGCACCGCATCAGAAGCCTAGAGTTCCAGCACCTCTCAGTCAGTTCTCCGTACATCATCATTACTATACACACTGTGTTGCTTACCAGATCAGATGTTTCTGGGGTGCTACTTATTATGGAAAAGATAGAGTTTGCAAGAACCCTACGAAAACGTAAGCGTCGGTATTGCCCGGCGCGGGGAGAGCGCTTCACCATAAGAAGTTCAACAAGCCTTGCCCCATAAGTAACTTAATCAATTTCTTGAGCTGCATTGAACTTGAACCACTTGGATTTCCTTGCTCTCTCAAGTAAAGAACTGAGCGATATATGAGCATTGCGATGAGAATTAACTCGTAGGCACACGAGGCTACACTAGTACAAAATTGAAAATCCAGACGGACGGATTATTTGGCTGGAAGATTATACATTGCCGGATGCCTAATAGGATGCCTTCTTGGTCTGACCAGGACGATCAGTTTACAAGGATAATATGCCAATAGTACTCTCGTGACTCACAAGTATAACCAAAGGATGGTAAAGACAGGACAACAGCCGCCAAAACGTTCGGCAGCTGTGCGGATATAAATGCGCTGATGAGGAGGATCTTCACTCTCTTTGAGTTTTCGTAGAGGGCACAGACTCGTGCAGACATTACTCCTGAGAAATCTAGTTTGAGTTGAAGTTTCTCTCAGATATTGGCTGATAGGACTAGTGCCACCTTGAATAAGCATGACAAATATGGCAGGCAAAGTGTTGCCAGCTACCGCGTTCAAAATCATACCTTCAAGTCGTGAATTTTCAATTGGATATCAATGAGACTTTGGCTTACAGCTGTACGTTTTGGATTTACATTGATCAGTAAGACAAGCTAGCAAGACAAATGAGACAAAGTACACTCACCCCTATCAAAAACAGTAGCCGTGAGCGTTGGAAAATTCTCTTTAACATCACAACTTACTTTATCTGACAAAATGACGGGGAAGACGTCCACTGGGAAGGATTCGCAAATTTAGACAGAGCCACAGGTGGAACAAGACCTACCAAGGGTCATTCTGACAAAGAACACAATGTTATCATTTATGAAATGAGAGTTTGCTTGAATACGTACACGGTGTATAATAAGCCAACATAGCGAAGCTCGAGAAAAGGGGGAAATATTAATTAATCAATGTACAGAGATTGATTATGACGGCAGACACTTACAAAGATATAACAGTACGTTAATGGGGATTTCCCGTGTTTCTAAAAGCCGAGACCATGTATTATTGCAGCATCAATATCATTTTAAATTGCGAATTGCCTCAATAGCATGAATTCACGCACCCATATCAGCAATACCTAACGTATCCATGTATGCTTCAGAGTAAATTCCTCCGGTAGTAGAAGGAGTGCGTCTCACCTCTTGGCTCAAATTGAGAACTGATCAAGACAAGTTAATAAAAGCGATTTGATGAAGCTAGCTCCACCTGACCGTAATCATATATCACCACTGTAAGAAGCGATACTACGACGTTCAGTTTAACTTAGTAGGTATGCAATGCTTGCCTTTAAGAGTCTCTGCCCACCTATGAGATAATTTTCTGCTTGGTATTGAAGGAGAGAAGGTATCAGTTCCGGAGAGTTTGAGACAACAGGCATATTGGACACGTTCCCCGTATTTGGGACTGCGTTTTGACTGCGTTTCATCGATAAGTACACTGGCCCGGCTATTTATGCGTGCTCCTTCCTTGTGGCACTGTTATTGCATATCCCCACCTGATACACTGATATTGGTATAGCTCGAGAGGGCTTCCACCACATTCATGTATTGCCAATATTCAACATTCCAAATCCAGCGTGTATGATGGTATCCAATCGACCATATAAGTGCTGTTCTCCAAAGCACATGGGCCCCAGAATTTCTCACTGCAACAACAAAATGAAGGTGCAAACCAATGTAAAATGATATGAACGAACAGTTACGGCACAACGACTGACAGGATGTGGTGTCTGCACTAAACGGAGTCGAATGCAAGAATGAATTGGCGTTGAGTTGAATCAGTACCAATTCCCCATGGTTTGTCTGGCACATGATTAGCTCAGCTTTTCCGTTGTGTGAATATAGACAAGTACATCTGCGTGGACCAGTAATATCCTCGCTCTTGGTTGGTGATCGGTATTTCTATTCCGTGGCTAGAAGACTCTATATTCTACTCAAACACTACGTGGCGTTTCTACAAAGGTTGACCGACATCAACAAAACATACACACGATGGACAACGATGAGAAGGAATGCGCACTGTAATAATCCAAAGATGATGTTTTATTTGATGTGTTTCATGATGTGTTTCATCATATTAGGGTCACCGCTCGCAGACAGCTGTCCACACCCCCCACCATTTTCAAGTGACTCCACGTCGGCAGCCATAAGTAAACTCGCCGCACTTTGTAGGTGGAATTGTACAGGTTGATTGCGGGCTTTGACCAGACGCAGCGTCCATCATTAACTTTACTTTGAGACCACATTCACTATAGAGGCATGGGTCTGGAACGTATTCTAGGTTGACACGAAGATGCGGCACGAAATATGAATTCACTCGCGGAGCGACCTCACGAAGGTCTCATCACGGCTCACTCGGAAATCTCGTCAACGGCGAGCCTCGAGTAAGTCACCGATGGATAGGTATGTCATTCCACGTATTTGCCTCTCTTGGGGGTCGTCGGATGCGAGAAGTCATCATTCGTCATCCATCGTTTCGTGTTGCACATGGACCACCGAAGAAGGGCTGTGCATCTTACTTACCCTAGACAAGGTCACCAAGCACGGCAATGGTCTGGACAGATACTGACGGTGAGCCATGATCCAGGGGTCTCGGAGCCAGTCTCCCAGAACATCATATTACATGCTATGCGACTGATCCTGAACAAGCAGGACTGCCATCGCGGATGAGAAACATGATTGAAAAGATGGGTCTACGAGCCCTCTTTCCAATTAGTCTGCATGATCTGAATGAAAGGTGAGAACAAAGAAATATCGAAGGCGCACCGAATAGGTGCACCAGTCCGCGGATGGCAGCATCGCTAGACGCATGCATCGTCGCGAGTTAACGTTCAAACATTCACCTGTGCGCTTGATTTACATAATGTATCGAGAGACAGCACTGTGTCATGTATAATGACATGCGTACCTCTTATGAATGACTCGGTCAACAGTAAGTTATCACCTAGATAAAATCATAAGAATCCACGAGCATTGAAGAAGTGGACAGATCCTCTTGCAGACGTTGTTTGTCTATCTGAGCGATATGATCACACATCTTCCTGGTCTGTAAACGGTGATCGACACAGCTTCACCCCAGGTACACAGTCTCAGGTTTGTTCAGCTGGTAGTACATCTTTACTCAGAAGAATGATTCCCTCCTTTGTTGATGCGACACGCTTGGTGCAATACGTTGAGCTACTTGCTTGCAAGATATATTATATGGAGTCCAGCCTTTCGACGAGCGAACCGTGTCCACCTAGTGTACTAAACTGGATTAGCGCTGATTGCCACGAGAAGAAGGATCTGGTAAGTTGCTCTCACTGTTTCCACAACTCTGCCGACCGTGCCGGCTACTAAGGCACAACCTTGACGAATCGACGATCGTGATTGAAGACCTCCCTTTAGTGTCCTCCATTCACATTTCGTGCCTTGCGAATCCTAGTGAGTTGGACAGTGATGACGTCCATGAGGATCTCCTAATACAGTGTCTGATGCCAGCTAGCGCCAGATGGCGGTTCCAAGAGTGGTCAACGAATTTGAACGCTATGTTCTGAACGAGATCCCGATCCGCTTGATCCACATTCCAGAGATGAACCTCGTCGACAGAGCCTTCGTCAGATCATACTACCAAGAAGCAATCCAAAACATCACAGAACAGGAAGCGGACATCTGGGGCCCTACGCCTCACCTCGTCACAGGACTCGTCAAATCCAAAGCACGCTACGCAATCCTGTCACATCGGTGGGGCGCTGACGAGCCCACATACCTCGATCTCTCCACCCCCGCCAGACTCGCACAGCTTGAAGACGAGCAGCCTCAGGGCCCGGGGTACAGCAAGCTCAAGAACTTCTGCCGCGAAGCCCGCAAGCACGGGATGGTCTTTGGCTGGTCGGACACGTGCTGCATCGACAAGAGCAGCAGTGCAGAGCTGGACGAGTCCATACGGTCGATGTTCCGGTGGTACCGCAACGCGGAGCTCTGCCTCGTGCACCTTGCGCAGACACGCGGGCTGCATGAGGTGCACCGTGACCCGTGGTTTCGACTCGGCTGGACGCTACAGGAGTTGCTCGCACCGCGCAGGATCAAGTTCTTTGCTGCGGACTGGGTGGTGCTCACGGTGGAGGAGAACGACAAAGCTGTGAACGCGTCACTCTTGGAGCCCCTGGAGCGCGCGACGGGGATCCGCGAGGTCGATCTGCGCAACTTCGCGCCAGATCCGTTTGATGTGGATATAAGGATGACATGGGCAGCGCAGCGGGTGACGACACGCGCTGAAGACGCAGCGTATGCGCTGATGGGCATGTTCGACGTGAGCATCCAGATTGCGTACGGCGAAGGCGCGGACCGGGCGTTTGCGCGCGTCGTCGAGGCAATCATGCTCGCTGGCGGGAGCCCGACGGTGCTGAACTGGGCGGGCCCCGCTGCGGTGCACCACGCGAGCACCGCGTTGCCCAAGTCACCAGCGAGCTATATCGGACATCGCGAGCTCAAGGTCATCAGCAAGCCGAGGCTGAATATGGCGCTCACCAGTCGAGGGCTGAGGCTGCCTATGCTCATCATACATGTTAGTTATAGCGCGAAGCTGGACGAGAGTGGCTTCGTCAAACATTTGAAGCTAACGGTAGATAGAGGGCCTTTTCAAGCTGAGGTGGAGGTGCAGCTGAGCCAAGAAGAAGTGATGCTGGGTCTCAATCTCGCGCTGGGGGTGTTCAGCTACGGTCTCGTCGTAGAGGGTGCCAACCCGTCGCTGCCTGCGGTGTCTACGGCCTATCTTCTAGTGAGTAACTCGATGGATGAAGACGCGCGCTCGAGACACAGAGGGTATTTCGGGTGGACTACCAAGGACATGGAGGAGGACTGGTACTTTGGGGAGCAGTGGAGAAGGGTGCCGACTGACTTTATCACCTTCAGAATACAGGGCGCGCCTGAGGACCATCCGAATCCCAGCCTTTACCTTAGTAACACTTTTATTGAGGATGTGTACTTGTAGCCCAGCACTCGTCAGTGACTGCTGTCAAGGAGCAGTGGGATATCCAAGCACGTATTCATATTTTGTTGTTTGCAACATTTATCCACACCGATGGTGAAGCGGTTATCATGCTTGCCTTCCAAGCAAGCGGCAGGGGTTCGACTCCCCTTCGGTGTACGCGTATTTTTTTTTCCCATGTTTTTCTCTCTTGCTCGTCAATAAGCCCCTATTTGGCCTCAAGTCAACCAGCGACTGGCCTGACCAACCCTAATACTTTTTGGCCTCAATGGCTCAACATAAGCGACGCAAGCTCTCTCACTCGTCCAGCTCTATCCTAACACCTCTCACCACCAACTGCGTCGACGTCCAACCCCCTTTCTCGTTGAACGCCATTAATATACCAAATGGAGTGGTAACAAAGTCGGCCACTCGCATAACATCAGCGCTCTGTCACTCTTGCCATCGGGCGTCCATCAGACCACTCCTTACGTGCCAGCGGTGAGTTGCATACTTCAAACAGTCTCTGCTGGCTAGGTGCTGATTCTATGGATCTTGCTGGTCTCTTCGCCCCCGCACCGAACACGCGTCCTGTGAACGTCGGGTCCGCGTGTTAGATGCGCGTCTCCGACGTGTACGATATGCTCGCGCACATGCCACCCGCCTCCTACCACCACTTCTACGAGTTACATGATCCAGCTTTCCGGAGTGAACAAGGTTCAGGTTCCTCAGCACATCGGGGCCACAAAGACGAAACGAACGCGTGCGGATGCGGAAGGAGATTCGTATCCAGACATACAGGAATGGGAAGATGACTATAATGAGGGTGGAAGGCATGGGTCTCGTGAAGACATGACGTGTTGCGCGCGCACGATCTGTCGCGGGTGTTGTGTTGAGGATGCACGAACGTACGTCTCTTAGTGCACTCTTATAACCCCTATCGTGTCTTACAACCGCGAACAACCGCAGTGACCTTGTCCAGTGTCTTGACTGCCGCTCAGCAACTAGCAAGTTAGCGGCTGATGCTCCTGATCCTGAACTCTCCCCGGCCCCCATCGACACTGTCGACATCTCTTAGACAGCGTACCAGGAAGTCCATCTCGATACCTTCATCATCGCATCTCCATTTTATTCTTAGATTTACTCCCATTGCATCTCTACAAACTCATACGCTTTGACTAATTTAACAAAGATCGCGCACTCTCAATCTAGAGTAGTATTGTCCCCTCCCCTTTTAATATAATATATCGATTCGTGATTAGGAATTAGTATGTCGTTGGATTGAGTAGGGATTATACCAAGCCATTAATGGAGCAGTCCGCAAGCCTATGCTCGTAACACAGCTGGCATAGCAGCAACATCTAGTTCGGAACCTTCTTCGAGCGACCCTTGAGCACTTTTCCGCTGCGTATGCCGGGCCAGGTAGAGGTACGACGAAGGTGTCATGCCCTCCACGCGCTTTGCAGCGCCCTATGCCCACCACCTCGTTGAGACATAATTCAATGTGGGAAAGCAAAAGGGACTAACCAGACTGCTCGGCCGGACGCGCTCCAGCCTCTCCTTGATTTCTTCGCTGATGCCGCGGATGGCCGAGTAGTCGAGATCGGGCGGTAGGAGCCGCTGCTCGTCCGAGAGGAAGGCGAGTACGTCCGCCTGCTGGCGGTACATCATAGGTGCGTATTTCCCTGGGAGGTGACTAACCGTTAGCCTGCATGCATCTATGTACAGAGCAGGGATTGGCGTACCGTCCACACCGACACGGGTAAGCGCCCAGCGCGGTGCGTCTTGCAGGCCGGGGACGACGCGTCCTATGTGATGCACCTCGACGAGGGGACCGCGGAGCATTTCGAATGCGCTGCATATTCACAGAAAGAGCGACCAATCAGATCAGTGTGTCTGGCCTCAGCCGAGGCCAGCTAACGACACGGCATACCTTCTCTTAATACCGTCGTTGTTAATTATGAACCCGTGTTCCCGCCATAACTGCGTGGATTGGTCGATGTTAGATGATGTAACACGGCCTGAGGAAACTAGGAACGAACCAGCGGACTAAGCACATAAGCTTCCATCACCTCCCTGATACGAGCCAGCTCGGCCTTGTCCCGCTCGAACGCGGCCCAACGCGCATCCGACACAATGCCGGCGGTCCGACCTATATCCCATCACGGACAAAGAAGTGGAAGAGGAACGGTGAGCGTGTGGGTCCCAGGGGACGCGTGATGACGCCCAGGAAGAGACCCGAGAGGAGCCAATTGGACGAATGAATGGAGGATGGATGAAACGGGCGCTCACCAAGCTCCGTCAGCCGCAGGTCCGCGTTATCGCTCCTGAGCGTCATCCGATACTCCGAGCGTGACGTGAACATCCGATCTTCTCGCCCCGAGCGCGAGCGCAATGATCAGTGTTCGCGGGCGAGCATGGTCGAACGAAGCGTGACCAGAATAAAGGGGTGCAAAGAGTCGAGGGAGCGCCGATGGGCAGTGCACAATTCATTGAGATAAAAAGATGATGGTGGTTTATCGCGGGAGCATCACATCACGATAACGAGGGGGCAATGGCGATCAGCTCATGTGAGATGGAAACGTGGTAGAAGGAAACGCGAGGAAGGGCGTACATGGTTCTTCGGCGCCCTTTCTGATGAGGTCGTCTATCATCACGCCCACGAAGCCGTCTGCGCGCGTCAGCACGAGACCTTCGCGGCCTTGCGCGCGCAGCCCCGCGTTGATGCCGGCGATGCAGCCTTGCGCCGCAGCCTCTTCGTAGCCCGTGGTTCCTGCAGGACCGTCGCAGTCAGAATGGGAACGTCTGAAGTGGTTCTCCGAGAACGTTCGACTTACCGTTGATTTGACCTGCTAGGAATAGACCCTGAGAGTCGTCAGAGGCAAAGAAAGGTTGGAACAAAGCAGTGGCTTACTTGTATGCGCTTGGTTTCCAAGGTTTCTAAGAACAGTGTTAGCTAGACTTTGTGTTACAATCATTTGGATGCGAACCAGTCAGCTCCCGGGAGTCAACATGATCATACTCTACGCCGTAAGCTGGCTTGACCATCTTCACTGACTCCATGCCAGGAATCGTGCGCATCATGGGTTCCTGAAGCTCTTCCGGCATACTACACGACAGACCGTTGGGATAGATAAGATCTATCAACGGTGCGATATGTTAGCCATACACAAACAATCATGTACAGTAAGGTTGGTGCGTACCGGAGTCATATCCCTCTGGTTCTAACCAGATCTTGTGGCTATCCTTGTCGGCAAAACGAGTAATCTTTGCCTCGAGTGAAGGGCAGTATCTTGGACCTGAAGACCAATCAACGTCCTGAGCACAAGCTTAGGGTGGTCATGCAAACCTTTCCTCGTCTCCTGAATATGCACACTGAACTGCATACTATCCTTTATAAGACGGTGCGTCTCCGGGGTCGTATATGTCTGGTAGCACAGGATCTGGTTGTCCTACATCTTAAGTGAGCGATCAGTCCTCGTCCTAGTAAACCCCAAGACTTTGTACCTTATTGTCGACCTCTCTATTCAAGAAGGAGAACGGAACGGGCTCCGCGTCGCCGGCGTGTGTCTCCATCTTACCGAAGTCGATCGTGTTGCGGTCGAGGCGGGCAGGTGTGCCAGTCTGGAGGCGGCCGAGCTGGAATCCGGCTGCCTTGAGTGACGCAGAGAGGCCTACGGACGGCGCTTCGTTCATACGGCCAGCGGGGAAGCGCTTCATGCCTATGTGTATCTCTCCTCCGAGGAAAGTACCGGTACATATCACCACCTGCGAGCACTTGATGACGTCTCCGTTCTCTGTAGAGTCATTAGCGGGTAACTCACGAAGTATGATCATAATGCGCACCTAAACGCACGCCAGCAACCTTTCCCCAGCGCAGAGGAGAGCCGGACGGGTCCGGAGAGTCATGTTCAAACACCAAATCAAACACACTTCCGGCGTGGATGTCGAGGCTGGGGTAGTTGAACATAACGTCTTGCATATGCTGCTTGTATAGCTTCCGATCGACCTGAGCTCGTTGTCCCTAGAGGAAAACAGAATGAGACAGCTGAACCTCGTGGGTGCTATTGTGACGCACCCAAACAGCAGCACCCTTGGAGGCGTTCAGCATTCGAAACTGAATGCCTGCCTTGTCTATGGTGACGCGAAGGGATCACTTCGTAAACGGGATGCTATAAACTACATGAATATACGCACCTGCAACTCGACCCATTACCCCATCCAGTGCGTCTACCTCTCTCACTAACGTCCCTTTGCCTACCCCTCCTATCGATGGGTTACATGACAGTTCGCCTATGGTGTCTAGTCTCTGTGTGAGGAGGACGGTACGCGCTCCCGTCCGTGCAGCACCGGTGGCTGCTTCGCATCCGGCATGTCCTCCGCCAATGACGCAGACTGGGTGTGCATGAGCAAGCCTGTATGTTAGACAGAGGCAAACAAGGTTGCGTACCGTCATAGAAGTCGGAATGAGTACTGGCTGTTGTGCTTGCGGGGCGGACATGCCGAACGTGTAAGAGAGTTGAGGCGTGAGGCCGTGAGTTGCGACGCGTCGCAGAAGTAAAGCTTCGTGCCGAAGTACAGCCTGGAGCTGAAGGGCGCTTGGTATTGGACAGGAGCCTTGTGTCGCTGATGGTGTGTGCAGGACGAGGTTGCCTTGCCGCTGCGTCTAGGACCTTTCTTCTAAGCATTTCCTTTTATCGTCGCAAGCTGAGCTGTAGACTGCAGAAAGATTATTCTGATCTACCACTGGCGGGTCTCTTGAACGGCAGAGGATATGAGTGCAAGGGAAAGACTCCGAGGTGGACCAAAATTGCGGGCGATTGACCTTTGTTTGTTCCTCCGATGACATATCTAAAACGGGGATACCTCCGCGCTAACATCACTCTCTCACACACGAAGATGTCGCGTGGACTCTGCTCTTGTCTAAAACTTTCGCTTCGGCTCGTGCAATCGCGTAACCCGACCGGCAATCCCGTCAATATAACACGGAATCTGTTCGTGAGTGGCCCTGGGAATCCGAGCCGTAAACCCTTCGGCACCGTTTCTGACGGGACGAGTCACTTTTGTCCACGCAAGCTCTGTTGGGACCGTCGGTTTTGAAGTCCCCTGCAGCTCCTCCATGTCCCTCTGGCGGTTTCTCTATCAGACCACTAGATTGTCCAACGCTGCCGCAGAACATCATTTGCGCAGATCTTCCCGCGTCAGTCGTTCTCACCTCCCAACCTGCAGGTTCACGACCACTTGTAACTCCGGTCAAAACATGTCGACAGCCTCGGACGAACTCGTTTTCTACCATTTCAACGATGTCGTTCGTCTTCATCTTGACCTCGTCTGACATGGACTCTGGTTTATATCCTCCAACGACAGTATCATGTCGATCAGCCAAAGCTGCTCAGCCGCTTTGCTCACGTCTTTCGCGAGGCTAAAGATAATGTAGCAGACGAAAGAAAGCCCATCACAGTTTTCAGTGGCGACGGCTTCAGCCCCTCGTTGGAAAGCTCAGTCATGAAAGGTGACCATATCTTGCCTGTGTTGAATCACCTCATGATTGACGTCGCGTGCTACGGCAATCATGGTAAGTGCTACACGCGTCCTCTGATGTCAAGCTCAAGGGGTACATTAGACTTTGACTTTGGCGAGAAGATTCTCACAGGCCTCTCTGAGAGGTGCACCTTCCCTTGGCTTCTTGCGAACGCTGTTCATTCGGATGGTCGGCTCTTATCTGCGGCCAAGGAATATCTCGTTCTCGAGCGAAAGGGCTACAAGATTGGCTTCTTCGGCCTCGCCGGAACGTGAGTCTTTAACAATCACTTTCTCGACTTTCAACGTAACCATGCGATACACTAGAGATTGGCCCTCTAACTGCCAACGCCTCCCCGTCGGCTCTCAGATTCTCGATCCGGTACCGATAGCTGCTGCCTTGGCCCGGCGTCTGAAAACCGAACTCGGTGCAGATATTGTAGTCGCACTCACCCACATGCGCCACGAAGACGACGCGAGACTTGCCGACATGTGCGGAGACTTGATAGACCTCATTCTCGGAGGCCATGATCACGATCTCGCCATCCGTGGTTCGACCGTCAATATGGTCAACAACACCTTCGAGGGTGATATCAAAGTCGTGAAGTCCGGTACAGACTTCAAGAACTATAGCATCGTTCGTATGGCGGTGACGAGGAACCACGAGGGCCGCGCGGAGGTGCAAAACATGAAAGGTAAGGCGTCCGACGACTGCATGTTCTTTCTTTCTCCAGAAAGCCGACAGCCCTTCCGCAGTCTATCAAATGCCTGATCTCTCACTCGAAAAGCGACACCCCGAGGACCCCGCAATGTCAGAGATCCTGTCCGGAGTCAAGGCAAAGATAGCGACGGTGGTGGACAAGCCCCTCTGCTACACGGCGGTGCCGCTTGAGTGCCGCTCGGTGGTCATCCGTACCGCCGAGACGAACCTGGGCAACCTACTGGCGGACGCGGTCAGAGCGTACTACGACACTGACGTAGCGCTCATCAACTCTGGGAGCATGCGCTGTGATCGTATCATGGATCCAGGAGTGTTAACCGCCAAAGACGTGCTTGGTGAGATCATCTCGTTCTCGTTGTTAATAGCAGTACTTTGTGGCGCGCCGCTGGCGACACATATTACATATGATGCTGCTGCGGGGGCCACAGCGACATTAGTCTCAATGGATGGTACAAATCCAGTCATATTGCTAAAGCCACACGTTCACAGACGTAGTCCCGTTCGACAACGCGTTCGTGGTCAAGCGTCTCACGGGCGCGACGCTCCTCGCCGCGCTCGAGAACTCGGTGTCGGACATCGTCGACGGGCGCTTCTTCCAGATCTCGGGGCTGTGCATCGAGGTGGACCGCGCTCGCCCGGTCGGCTCGCGCGTCCTGAGCGCCTCCCTCGTTCCGGGGCATACTTCTGCCAATGCTGCCCATTCAGACGTGACATCGACATTGACAGGTGCGAGTACGGATGCGCCGGGGAACGTGGACAGCGCCGGCGTGAAGCCGCTGGAGCGGAATGCCGAGTATACAGTGGCCATGATTGCGTTCATCGCGGAGGGCTTTGACGGGTACGAGCTGTTCCGCGGGGCGCCCACGCTCGTGGGCGAGGAGAGTGCGATGACAGATGCCTCGTTGCTTATGCAAGTCTTCCGCGGGAATGATCATGCCTCCGCTCCATCACCCAGTGAGGGAAGGCAAGAGTCTGACTCGGACAGGGAGGACGAGGTCGACCGGGCCGTCGACCGGGCGCGTGCCGCTGTAGTCGTCGGACGTACGGACGAAGGATTGCCTATAGTGAAGCCCGAGGTACAAAGCCGAATCCTAATGAGATCAACACTCTCAAAATACTAGCGTGTTTTCCATTCTTTCACTCGTTCCATCCCGTTTGATCATAAGCGTGTCATTGTCGTGAAAAGTCTATATAGATGATAATGATACATGTCCAACAATGTGGTGACCGAAATATACAAATGTGCCCCCTCGATACCAGAAATAAATGTAGGGATAAATACCGGAATCCGTGGATGAGATGGAATAAGTAGCGTCCTCCGTCCTCGCCGCAGCAGAGCCTCGATAGCTAATGTGTGGATGCCTTGCCCATTCTCACCCAGAGGCCTCCCTGAGTGATCGACCAGGTCAGACAAGGAACGAGAGAAAACAAGGGGAAGAAGACAACGGACCTTGACAAAGAGGGTCATCGCGGCCTCAGGGCGAATCTGCTCTACCGCCTTGCGCCCGCGCCCGCATTTCCACTCTTGAGGGGGCAGTGACGAGCCGGGCTGCGCATCCGGAGCGAGCGAGAAGGTGTCGAATCGTTGGAGCAGCCGCGCCAGGAAATAGGACGCCTCGTTGTATGCGTAGTTCTGTCCGATGCACTGCAAGTCGCGTCAGCATCGTTGAGCTCCATCACCATCATCACTCGATACCGAACATCGAGCGCGTGCGATACTACGGGTAGATAACACTTACTATACGCGGACCAGCGCTGAAGGGGGTGAACATCATGGGATTAGATGTAAACTTGGAGAGGCGTTGGGGATCGATCCAGCGCTCTGGATCAAACTTGTCTCCATCAGGCCCCCACAGTGCCTTGTTACGCTGCATCAACAGAGTCGAGTAGAAAAAGGTAGTCGACTTCGGCATGTAAAGTGGTTGCCTAGACTCGGCAGGGAAGGTGGGATCAGGTGGCGGGAGGGTGCATGACGTGGGGCGGCTCTGTCGCTGGTTCAGGGGTACAGGGGGGAACAAGCGGAGGGTTTCGTCGATGACGGCTCGCACTTTCGGCCGAAATCAGACCTTGGTCACAGACTATATTTGTGGAGAACGTACTATAACGCATCTGCTTGATGTTCTCGAACGTTGGGGTTGATTGACCACAAACAGAGAGCACCTCCCGGCGGAGCTTCTGAGTGACATCAGGATGCATAGCCATGAAGTACGTTACGTAGGTCAAGAGGCAAGCAGTCTGAACGTTCCACCGCAACCATGAGAATTTGCGCAGGTACCTCAATTCAAATGACGACTTACTGTGTCGCGTGAAGCCAGCAGCATGCTTAGCAATTGATCACGAATCACATCGGCATCTAGCATCCAAACGATTCGCAATGAGAATGACGATCCAGCTGACCCACGATGAGTGCTCACCCTCTGTGCTATCTGCCAGATGCTCAAGGAAGTTCTTCTCAGCGATAGGGCTGCCTGGGTTAATCTTCTTGTGTCTCAGAGCATCCAGAACGAGCGGGTTAATCCACTCCTTGATCGTCGCCGCATAAGGAGACATCTTGTCTCCGAACAGCTCCTTGAGAGGCCAAATCACGCCAGCGCGACCCCGCATCATAACGAGCTGTTGAGAACCCTCGAACGCCTGCACGAACGTGCCCCACGAGTCTTCAGTGCAAGAACCTCTCTCGTTGAACTTCTGTTCGCCCGGCTGTGGCATAGTCTTAGAGAGCGTGTCCAGATTGGATCCGAAGAGAAACTCGGATGCCGCATCGAGGCTGAAGCGTGCGTACAGGTCCTGCAAGTCACAGGGCCTGTTGGACTCCGCCATCTGAGAAACAATCGAAAGTGTTCGTTGGGCGTGCTTCTCGATCAAGTCGAAATCAGATATTCTGTTGCGGGCAAAGAATGGGCGGGCAACGGTGCGGTGCTAATGTGGAAAGCGCTCGTTAGGTGCGGGGACAGCGGAGTGGTATTGCTTGGGCTCACGTTCTTCCATGCCTGTGAATGAAATGGATGATGTGAGCAACGATCAGAGGTGGCGTGCAAGATGAATGGATGCATACCTCGTCGTCACGGTTGAAAATGCCGCTCCCGAGAAAATGTTCCCTACGAACAAACAACTCAATAAGACGGAGGTTGTGCCTGGCCGAACAAGTGACATACATTCTCTCGCGTTGGGCGGTCCCTCGCCAGAAGTGACTGAAACCAGTTGCAAGCACATACTTGCAGTGCTCCTGATCCATCGAGATGATCTATGAACGACCCAAAGGTAAGCATGATGAATACGAGCAGGCATGAGGCAGATGTCAGGTGGATATAGATTGACGCTCTGGTTGGTGGGTGTCGAAGCGGAACCCCGTACTGCCATGCTCGAACGAGAAGCAAGAGTACTCACGCTGTCAGTCCACAAGATGCGGGTGTTGAGGGTAGTTGACTGATACTCCTCGAAAAGTTCGAGATAGGGGTCATAGATGTACGAATCTTTGAACGCTTTGCTGAGTCTGAGCATCACGTCGATGTTGCCAGGCCATTTCCCGACAACGCGAGGTATCGGACGTGCACCGAGTTGTCGCGCTTCTCTCGCTTGGAGAAGTTCTGAGTACTGAACTCTAGCGAAGAATGCCACTACTATTGATAACAGGTAGGCGGGCAAAGACCAGTATCCTAGACGAATGTCTCCCCATCGACAGCCAGCGGCAAGAACAAGGGGTGGAACGACGAGCGTGCGGAAGAGATCCCTGCATATACGAAGACGAAAGTTGCCTGCGCTCATGATGACGAACAGAACTAGAGATGAGGGGACACGGGAGGGTGGGCGGATGAGCTTACCTGAGATGTGAGAGGTTGTTTATATAGCGTGGATGGGTGGTGCTGGCCCTGGCTGCGAAGGACAGATTGGCGTGTCGGTTATTTCCCAAAGGGAGTCGGACCTTCTGTTCCTTGACAAGCCAGGACAAGCCCCAGCGTGATCAGAAATCAACCAGCTTGAGTGCAATCGCCGGGGCAACACCGGGCAGGTCGAGTTTGCGGGACCCGTCCACTAAATCGGAGGAATCCAGATTGCGGGTTCATTTACTCATCCGAAGCGTTCGGTTCGTTTGGTGTACCGCCCGAATGGCCAGACCATTTAGCGTTCCCGCCGGTGGTGCCACCGAGCCGCCCCGCCGCGTTGTCGAATTGATGCCTAGCTCCAGGCCACATGTCGGCGCTCCGGTGATCCTGGGAGGCGAGGAGAGAAGACGAGACGCATCAGTCGCCCACACTGGCATGGGCGCGATGATTTTTACTTTTGAGGGCAACGTTCCCACGTGGCAGCTCGGGGGCATGTCGCGTGCGCGCGTCGCGGTCTCGGGCAAGTCGCACAACCGCGCCTGTCCCTGTCGACGACGAAAGCGCTCAGGTACCGGTGAGACTCGGTTACGCTACTGACCTTATTTTGCTGATACATACATCGGCTTGACGCGCATATACAATCACCGTACTCCATTCTCTCTCCGCAAAACGAGGAGAGGCATGATGGCGTCCAGTGCCCACACGACCTTCTTTCTACCTGACGCTCGTTAGATACGAAACACCGACGAAGACGACCATGCCATACAGTCCTCGTGGTTGTCTCAGCGTTTAGCGCTCGCTGAACCACCGACGTAAGATACGTACCCGAGTCCCAGGTAAATCCGCCCTGCCCGAGCCCATTCTTCACAATCTCCGACTGCCTAGCTCATGTCCCCAAGGGCGAGCTGACCTTCTTCCCGAGTAAACCAGCGCTGATTCCCGCCGATACCAGTCCCACCGTGTTTGGCTTTCCCGCCTGTGTCTAATGCCGAAATGAATGGGATGAACCCCAGAGATACAGTTGTTTGTCGAGAGAACGACCAGATCTACGTCATTTGAGGAGTAAACGCGGACTCTAAACTCTGCAAATATAGTATATCCGCCGACTTGAACATTTCAACACGTTGGCAACGAGATAGTACAGATAGTAAGAGGCGCCGAGGCCGAAATAGCATGCAATGGTATGAATCCACTAAAGAGTCGGAAAGCGCTGCCTGCATACCACTAAGCCACCTCGCGTTATTCATCGCAAACCTTGCTGAACAGTCTCAGAGGCGCTGTGCCGTCAGCTTTATTAGACTCATGGATAGCTTACCTCTGACATATTCTGTCAGCAGACGGCCATTTCTATATCAGTACGTACCTATGTTCCTGATGACAACTTGGTTGGCAAGCCGGCATCTCTCCGCCAATCTAACAAATGTGCGAGCTACGTCCCCAGTCCTGCTAAGCTCACGAGCTGGGCCAACGGACGCCCGTGAACGGGCTTGGGTTTCTCCACAGACATGGTAAACAGGGCCCCAGACGGCCCCAGACATCGATGAGTGGTCTGATGCCAGCAAGCAAACGCGTGTGAGTGACATAGGGGCGCCGCAAGGAGCGTCGGTGGTTGCGAAAGGCCGACCGACCATTTGAAGGCTGATGCCCACGATAAGTTATTAGTTACGTGCATGTCGCCAGCTTTGGTAATGTGCTCTTGGGATACAGTCGACCATGGACGATCATATGAGGCTACGACGCTAGCGAATACGCGAGCTTTCATGATTTCGGTTGACGTTGCACTGCTCTGTGTGATGTCCGATGCAATAGTCGAGTCATCTCGTAAGTCCATGAGGATGCATGATGGAGAACTAGCAGCAGCAGTTGCAGCAGTTGATTTTCGGATGATTACCAGCCGAGTGGACCAAATGTATCAGATCCAAATGGAGCGAGAGAGCTCCTGGATTCGCATCGTAATTTCATGTTCGAAGTGAATCCGAGGTCACCTTGTCATCTCATGTAAAAAGATTAAGGTTGGGCCGTGTAGGTTTGTCCAGAGCGTCTTCTGAATGGCTGTTTCGCCGCGGGGCAAGTGACCGGAGAATCATTGTCCGGGTATAAAGTGGGCAAACTAGTGACTATCGGACTCCGTTAGCAGTAGGTTTTCTAGGAAGAGCACCAACGATTAATTGGGCCTGAAACATTCGTATCCGATGAGTAACCCGATGAGAAGTCGCTTGAGGACGCCGTGTAGCGTCCGAAGCGCGTCCTTCGCCATTAAGTCTGATGAGATATCCCTCATCCTGTCTTGAACTCAGAATTTTCAAGCGGTTTAGGGGCCTACTTGGGGATAAACACAAAGACGAGCGATCTCTGGGTTAACAGCGTCGCAAAACTGTCGCGAACCAAAACGTGGCTGCGCCCATTACTGAGTCAGGCACGCGTCGAGCTTTACGTAATTGCTCCCATTTCGTCATCTTTAAGCGCCCGGCCACAGTGACGCGGCTCGTGCCTGCACTTGACACTGTCCAAAAGAAATCAACACACCATGCCAGGCAAATGGATTCCGCTTGAGTGCAACCCAGAGGTAAGTGATATTCTACTCTTCAAGGACACGAGATGGGGATCTTGAGTTTATTGACGCATCTGATTTGAACGCAGGTTCTCAACTCGGTAAGGCCTTACCCCTGAGTCTAAAACGATGTTCCGCTGACTTACTGTTGGGATCGTTCGCGTATAGTGGTCGAAGCAGGTTGGCGTGGTCACGTCTCAGTTCCAGTTCACAGATGTGTACGGCTTAGACCCGGAGGTGAGCAAACGCCGATACCCATCGTCCTATCCTCCTGGGAAGAGCGTGCTACGAGATGGGCTGACTGACGTTCAATGATCCACCTGCCATTGGGCTGGCTCGAAATATCTCTGTATGCGACCAGCTTCTTGCGTTGGTGCCGCGCCCCGTGCTCGCGGTCGTGCTACTGTTCCCGCTGAACGGGAAGATCAAGGAGGAGCGTGAAAAAGAGAATGAGAAGTACGGCAAGGAGCCACAGCCTATCGATCATACGATCTTCTACATCAAGCAAACCGTGAGTCTGCGCATATTACCTGCACGCAAGTATCGCGGTGCTGATCAAGGATGAATGACATAGATCGGAAATGCATGCGGGACGATGGGCCTCTTACATGCGCTGACAAATGTACCGTCCATTCCTCATTTCGTTTGACAGTTGGTCTGACGGTGTGGCAGTCCCCAATTACAATTGCCCCAGAGAGTCCATTGGAGAAGTATATGCACCAGTGTCAAGGTGCGTACACTTCGCACCATTGAAATAACATTACGTATTTCTCTCGTTGTGTCAGACAAGACGCCGGATGAACGTGCCAAAACGCTCGAGGAAACCAACCTCTTCACCGAGGTACATGCCGAGGCCGCGGGCAGCGGACAGAGCACCCTCCGCGAGCAGGACATGGACACAGATCTTCATTTCACTTGTTTTGTTCAGGCTCCCGATCCGTCGGCGAGGGATGCGGAGGTCGAGACATCGCACAAGCGGATTATTGAGCTTGACGGCCGCCGCGTTGGTCCTGTCGACAGGGGCCCTGTGTCGTCGGGCGACTTGCTCCTGGTCAGTGACGTGCTCTACTCAAATTCACCTGAGTAATTATGACGACGATACGCCTCTAGGATGTTGCTGAGTTCATCAAGAAGCATTACATGGACCAGTCGTCGAGCATGCAGTTCGGCATGGCGGCTTTGTCTCCGCCTGAAATGTAAGAGGAGACCGAGAAGCATGTGTAAATCATAGTCAGCCCTGGCTAGCAAGAATTATGTACACTAGGATAAAGAAATAAGAGAGGTGATGATCGCTAATCCCGGAGAAAAAATAAACACATATGTGTACATGAGCAGTTCATACAATCGTGAAATTATAGCTATATATCTGACGACAGTGCCTCCGCCATCATTTCTGGGATCTCACCCTGCATCTTAGCGACGAACCGCGAGACCTCAAAGAAGTTGTCAAAGTCAGTGACGTCTACGCCGTTCCCAATTTCTGCTATTTGATGGCCAGCAGCCGCGAGCTTTTGAAACGCGACGACGATTCTCATCAGACGACAGTTCCCGACGTTACGTCACGATATGTAAACACGCACCCGCAACCACTGCCCAGGGGTGAACTTGTCTCCTTTCGCTCCCGTCTTGAGACCCTTGAGGATATCGAGTGCCAGAAATGGCTCCGCCGCGAACGGCCGCGCCATCCCGACGACTGTGCCGCCAACAGATCGTTACATGAGCATGAGACGCTAAGCCCGCCATCAAAAGCGGAAAACACCCACGGTCGGTGTGGCCTTCAGCTACGGCGATTGCCATCGCGGTGGCGGAGCGGAATCCGCCGGTGAGGACGATCTTGGATCGGCGCAGGCCAGGATTCGAGCGAAGCTTTTTCGCGTAGTTGATGAAGTAAGCTTCTTGGTCGGCGGGGATGGCGCGCTGTAAGGAGAAAGGAGAGAAACGAAGTCAGTGTTGATTTTTGATGTCGCTTTAATCAGACATGAGTGGAAAAATGTGGAGGCTGTATTGATGGTGAGGCGACGGTAGACGAGTGATGGCTCACCTTGTGTTTGTGCATTTCGGGTACGTGCTCATACGTACCCCCGCTGAGCTCGATGAGGTCAACGCCCCGCTGCTCGAGTGCGCGTGCGACCTGGACTGCTTCGTCCGCGCTGAAGCCGCCCGGCACGAAGTCATCTGCGTTGAGCTTGACGCTTATCATGAAACCCGAGTCTTTGACGGTGGATTTGATCGCTTGCAAAACGTCGAATAGGAGGCGCGATCGATTCAGGAGCGAGCCGCCGTACTCGTCCGTCCGCCGGTTTGTCCGTTTGGATAGGAACTGGTTGATGAGGTAGCCGTGGCCTCCTTGGACCTATATGGGTACATCGATGGTGTCAGAGTGTAGTAAATTGCGGCAAGCGTGTATGATGGCGCATTGGGAAGATGCTGACCTGAACGCCGTCGAAGCCGGCTTGGTGGAGGACAGAGGCGGCGTATGCGAAGCGGTCGACGATGTCTTTGATGCCGTCTCTTGCTAGCGGTATTGGCCGACCGAATTCTATGCCACCGACGGAGACCAGCTCGACGTCCGACGCGGACTCGGGGTATGGGTTGATATTGATTGGAACTTGTCGGCCGGGGTGGCAGAGCTGCCCGAGGATTAGGCTGCCATTCGTTCGCGCGCCCTGTGCGATGCGGCGAAAGTCCTCGATATAATCGGGTAACTCGTTGTCTATTATGGCGTTGCCTAAGGAAAGAGACGAGGTGAGCGCATGCGTCGACTTGATATTCAGGGCTGGTGACTATACCTGTAGCCTCGAGATGATCTTTCTTAACCTGTATATTTCCTGTGACTAGTATGCCTACAACCCTGGCGATGAGCAAAAGATACGCCAACAGAGTGAACGTCATGCCTATATTGCCATTTGACCAAGTTTCGTAGGCTCTGGCGAGCTCCTCTGTCGGCCGACCACGGTCATACGGGTCGAACGTAGAGAACGTTGCCAAACGTTCTGACATGGCACTCTTCAGGAATCTGTTCTTGGCCGTTTTACCACTGAATGGGAAAGTTATCGGCTCGCCAAGGACCTCTTGGGGTGTAGTCATGATGCAGTAGCCTGGGTAGTAATCTGCCACGGTGAAAGTCATACTTGGCTTCTTATATGGGATGTCACTCGGGAACGTTTGACGTATATGCCGCAGTGCGCCGGGGGCGGCAACAGGGGCTAGTGACATGGCTGAACTGAAATCAACAGATATTGTCAGGTACATCGGGGACCTTCTGTATAAATGCGAACATGAAAACCTCATAATATGTTTTGTGTTATGTTTAGCTATTCCTCCGATTGCAGCGTCGCAGAATCGGGCACACGGGAGTTGCGAGGCGTTAGAACTCGTCAAGGTTCTGACGATCTCAGTTTGTCAGAAAATTGGAGCCGTAACTTCCCCTTGCTGATGAGGTTAATGAGATTATGAATTGGTAGCTATACCGTTAGAGACCGTTCGAAGGCGACTTACTAAACTGCCCAATCGGGTAAGTTACCGAGATTAGCTCATGGGCCGACGCAGTGGTGAACTCACCAGTGTATCAAGTGGGTGACACCGTCGGTGGTAGGCTAAGTACCTAGAATAGGGAGAGATGCATCTCAGCCAAATCATCCAGAGGCGTTATGATAACATAGCCGCGCCCCACCGTAGCTTAGCTGCTTGCTCTCTAAGCACTGCTGACCGTCCTAGCAGCAGGGAGTGAATGTGTAATTGGGACGTTTGTGGAAGTTGTGAGAAAGCGTTGCGGCCTCGCTTGCAGTCGAGACTCTAGCCAGACGGATTCGGGCGAATGCCTCGCTGCACGGAGCTTCGCTTTCACCGAGGTCAGGCAATCAGATCACCGGAGCTAGCGGGTCTCGGTGGGTAGGGTTGTGGCACGGTACCCTTGAGCGATTTTGGATGTGCCCATGGGCCACAGTAGCAGTGCCGCAGCCCCCACGCAGGTTCATGAGACGGTGAACTGCGTCGCACCACCAGTTTGCCTCAGGTAGTCCGTCACGATCGTTGGCGGATGTTACGTATGCGCCTGCGGTTGCGGCAGATTGAGAGAACCTAGAGGTAACCCGACCCGAATTGGACGGTTATGGCGATGGACTGGCCTGGTGTGGTCGGAGGTTTGGAGACGCCGATCCATTGAACCCGTTCCGAGGCGAGTGGCTAATGCGATCATCCCATTTGGTGGCCCTGAGGTTTTTTTGTCTAGCGGGTGCGGTCTCCTCATCCCTGACAGCGGTGTTACCACACTGAGATCAGTGTGTTTATGCCAGAAAGTTCCGTTAAGATTTGCGTTTTGTCGGCCAAAATATAGTTCTACCGAAGCATCAGAGCAAAGTCGTGGTCATGCTACCCCTATTAAAAACACCTGTAGCCCACGAGAAGGAGAGAGATGCATGGATAGATCTTGAGAAGCATTGATCAATTGGACTGGAAAGACGGTGGAGGTCATTCTCACCACCACGAGAAAGCTCTTATCATTTGACTCACAGGCAACAAGCTGACACGACGAAAGGCAATGGCTAGAACCGTGATGCCCATAGATACGAAGAAAGCTTTCATGTCGGCATCACCATGTACGCACAGTGCAGACGGTAGTGCGCAGTGATGTATGTAGCCACCATCTCATTTGTAGAGCAGCGGCATTAACGAATGCCCGACTGTATGCGGTCCGCATCTTGACAATCTGACATGGCTTGCATAACAACAACGCATAGCGCGGCTGAGGTGCGAGCGACGGAAAAGCTGTCTTAGAGGCCAGGGCTTACACCAGCTAGATGGTGGTGTACCGTAAGCGCCAGCTTTGTTGGCTGGAGGTGTTCGGGGAGTGCGGGATGATGGTAATATGTAGACTAACCGGAGCGCTCGGATTCGGTGGCGCGCGGCGTCGGGCCGTCGGCGCTACTCGGCTCTAATTAGACTTAACGGTTTGTGTGCCTCGTATTAGACGCCCGCGGTAATCGGAGTCACCTCTTTACCGCTGCACGCCATGGCAAGCTCATCGACCACCCCACTGACACCCACACAGGTGCTTTTGAAAAGCGCGACCATCGTCTCGCAAGGCGCTGAAGCAGCAAGTCTTGTTACTCGTGTCTCGGCCCCTACTCCATACTCATTTACGTGACACACGCGTCTTGGTATTGATCCATTTCATCTACATCGATCTACATTGCAGAAAGTCTACAAAGCCTACCTCCGACATCATGGCCTCGGCAAAACCGCTATTTCTACGCGCACCGGCACCGGAGATGTCAGCGACGTCCAAAATAACGAGAGCAGTGGCTCGGAGCTCGACGTTGCCCCGGTCCTGATCAAGTACCGGTTTCCGAAACAGTATCGGCATCCGTCGCTCGACGGCTCGCTCACTCGGGCACGGGTAGCTGGCGAGGCACGGGCGCTGCTGCGATGTCTAAGGTGCGTCGTCTAGAATGTTTTGGCATCGGGAGTACGATTGCTCCTGCATTCTTGGACATCCTTGGACTGACGTGCACGCATGGGTGGGCAGGTCGGGCGTGCAAGTCCCCGGGATCCGCTTTGTCGATGCTACAGAGGGTGTGCTTGGCATTGAATGGATAGATGGAAAAAGTGTGAGGATGTTGCTCCCCGGTGGCGCCGAGGCGGAAGATGATGAAGGCGTGGGCCCCGGTGACGACGAGCAGGTGGACGAGGCAGAGGATGAAGCAGACGAGGTAGATCCACTGGTTGAGTTCGGGGTTTCACGAGGTGCGAGATTCTGTGCATGCGTATATCCTACCCCGGGGTTAGCTGACCTTCATTATTCATCTCATGCAGACCAGCTCATGTCAATGATCGGGACGGAGATCGCTAAGATGCACCAGGCCGACATCATCCATGGCGACCTCACCACGTCAAACATGATGCTCCGACGTGAAACGGGCGACTTGGTGTGTACAAGACCATGCATTCCATGCGGAATGGGGTAATGACCATTTGACTGTGGTGCAGGCCCTAATAGATTTTGGACTGGCATACCACTCGACGCTTACAGAAGACAAGGCTGTTGACTTATATGTCCTTGAGCGCGCTTTTGGTTCGACACATCCAGACTCGGAGCCCATGTTCTCTTCGGTGCTCGAGGCTTATCAGAAATACATGGGTAAGGACTGGAACGTGGTTAAGAAGAGGCTTGAGGATGGTAAGTGACCCATCTTTCATGTCTGAGAGCCGCCTGTTGAATCATGCACAGTGCGTCTACGAGGCAGAAAACGCAGTATGGTCGGCTAGAAGTTCAGTGCATACAAAAACAACCTGTATCATCTCCATTGTATCAACCATCTGCTTCATCGCTATGATGTTTCTTCTCTCTCTTGCTCTCAAACAGGCACCTAGATCTCGCCCATGGACGCTAACGAACCCCACCAAAGTCGTGTGTAAGGTAAGATACGTGCCTGATCATCTGATAAAAGTCCGCGCGTCAGCCCTCGACATTGTTCCCAGAACTCAGAAACGCCCGCTATTCTTATCAATATCAACCTGTTCGCTGGTCACGAGCCAGAGGTAGATTGTCATTCAGAAGAGATTTGTGGGTTGCTGTGCCTTGATGGTCACCCAGGGCTTAGGACTTATTGTGGTCGTTTACCGGGCCGCGTGCGTGGAAGTAAGTAAAGGCGCGAAGGCGGGTCCGCAATGGCCACGCATATGGTTAACGAAGCCGTGACTCTACTTCTTGAAACAACCAAGTCTCAACCAAGACTTAGGCCGTGTTGGTAATGTGGATCGACAGGTGTACGGCTTACACGCTACTTATGGTGATGTTGAAGTTATAGCTGCATCGCTCAGGTACATCGTCCTCGTGAAAGGTGGAGTAGATGAAGATGTCATCGACCAAGGTGATGAAGTCATCTGCTCGGATTTAACAAACGCGTCGGCACGTGTCTGGGTCCCCCGCATGTCTATTTTTAGCACCATCGAGTGTGTGCTAAAAGAGAACGAAGCTAGCACATGAGCCTCGTCTCGGGGCATTTCCTTGCCAGCACACCGTATGGTTTTTCTCTTTTCTACGTCATGAACGCATGCACGTAGGCTGACTTTCAGAGATATGCGCTGTGGGCTCCTCCATGTCTGCATAGGAGGTACGTTATCTGGTGCGGTGTTTATGCTCCTTAGCTGAACACCATATGGAAGTTGCTTTATCCATTTGAACTGGCACCAAATTGGCCATGGAGGAACGCATACAGTCATCTATTCCAGCCTCTAGGAAATGAAGCTTCTCTCTGAGGTCGACGTCAGGTGGATGCTGTACAAAGATAGCATCGATGGCAATATTTGTGTCGTGAGTTGCTACGGTAACTCTGTCAGTTTCATATGTCTGACCCTGTTGATTGCAGCGCTGGATGTGGAAACAGCAGCATGATATGTCAGAGTGAGATGTGATGCATCCATTTGTAGGACGGTCATACGATCGGACAATGCACGCCCATGTCATGAAGGCTATAAATAGCCCATGACCGTTGATCAAGGTGTACGTGCCATGCGATGTGTGAGGAGAAACACAGCAGGAAGAGCAGCAAGCGAGAGAGAAAGAGACAGATTCGCAATTTCCACTTCCCAAAGCTCATCACATGTGCAATATCAATCGGTCACAGGAGTCGCTGGGCGGGAAGGGATGCACGACTCCAGCGTGATCATGTCCAAAATACACGGCCATCTTGGATTGAATCATGCTTCGCGTATAAATCGAACTCCCGGACGTGTCGCCCCTCTTTCTTGCCCCTCAACTCCTCGAACGAGCTCTCACCCCGCCACACGTCCGGCCCACCCCTGCCCGTGGACGTCGCCTCCTGAAACTTAACTCAGTCGAACGGAACAGGTATTGGCCATGTCCCTCAGACGTCTCGCGATCGCTGCGTTCTCCCTCTCCGCGGGCGTGTCGTCCGTCCGCGCCGAGCCCGTTCAGAAGGCCAGCCTTACAGTGCCAAGCAACTATACTGGCAACCTCGACACCATTAAGCAGATCTTCAACACCACCTACGCGGCATACCTGTAAGCGTTCACATTTTCCCTGGCGCGTCGCCGGCTTGGGCTGAATGGTTCAACGCGCATATAGGCAATACGCGTTCCCGAGGGACGAGCTGCTGCCCCTCACCAAGAACGGAACGGACGATCTGTTCGGATGGAGCGCGACGATTGCTGATGGCTTGGACACGATGGTGCGTTCTCATTCCAGTGCGCGTGAGAGGTGAGGTAACGTCTTGTTGATGGTTGCGTTCAATCAATCAGTGGATCCTGGGCTATACGGTGAGCCATCTTCTTTGAGCATCCTAATAGATGTGAACGTTAAACCGCGTAATAGGACCTGTTCGAGCAGGGCGTCGACCAGATTGCCAAGACTAACTTCAACGTCTCGGCGGGTGAGCAGGTCGGTGGGCTTCCGGGGGACCAGGCTTAGTGCGTTCGCAATGGTGGTCTTTGTGCTTTGATACTGATTCCTGTGCTTCCAGCCTCTTCGATGCCACCATCCGGTACATTGCTGGCTTCCTGAGCGCATACGAGCTCAGTGGGCAGAAGTATCCTGTGCTTGTGGAGAAGGCCAAGGAAATTGCCGACAACATGGCATATGCTTGGGTTGACGTGTGTTACCCTCCCCTGAGAGCGTGTTTGACAAGGTATGCTGAAAGTAGATGGTACAGGGTAACAAGATGCCATACAACACCGTGTATCTCGGTAACCACTCTGTTCAGGTTGACTCGGTGCGTTTCATGCCCTAGCAGCGCGCATTTGGGAGTGCACTGACGCGTGAGGACAGACCAACGTCGCACAAGTTGGCACTGTGAGTATCAATGCGTTTAACGCGTCTCTATCACGTGGTCGTTCCGAGTTGAATGGCGCCTTTTTAGCTTACCTTGGAGTGGGGCTTGCTGAGTAACTACACCAACAATGCCACGTACAGACACCTTGTTGAGGAGTCTGTTCTTTACTTGGCTTCGCTTGTAAGCCTCTTCGTTTTTACTCTGAAGCTCATGTTCACTGAATTTCTGGATAGCCCGATCCTTTGAATGGTATTCCGGCTCAAGCCCTCTGGCCCAATGGCACCTTTATCGGTGACTATGTTGTAAGTACTGCACAATCCCGCCTCCCCTTCAGCATCTCACAACATGGTCTTTAGACTTGGAGCGGAGGAACCGACAGTTACCTTGAATATCTGATCAAATACGCTCGCCTCACGAACACGGACGATAATACTTATGCGGATACCTGGGCAACTGCCGTCGATTCGTCCATTGACAAGCTTCTCAAGGTAAGCTCAAGATCAAGACTCCAACGAGGATATGTCGAGTGCTGACTGTATCAATGGTAGAGGTCGACCGTGGACAACTGGCTCTATCTTGCGGACTACACGAACAAGACAATCCTTCATGTTGGTTCGCATCTGGGGTGCTTCTACGGCGGTAACTGGATCCTTGGCGGAAAGATGCTGAACAACGACACGATCTACAACTACGGTCTCGAGCTCACTGATGCTTGCTTTAACACCTACTACGGCACTGCGTGAGTCAAGGTCTTCGTCCTCTTCGCGCAAACATCCTGTCTGATCTTTACCTTGGTTAGAACCGGAATCGGCCCTGAGACGTTCGCCTACATCTCAAGCGACGGCAATTACACGGGCAGCAACATCACCGCGCAGGAGGTCGCGTTCTACAACGAGCACGGGTACTACGTGACCGACCCAGGGTACTACCAGCGGCCCGAGGTGCTCGAGTCGAACTTCTACGCGTGGCGCGCGACGGGCGACACCAAGTACCTCGACAACGCCGTCGAGGCGCTGAACGCGTTCCAGAAGTACCTCCCGAGCACCGTGGGTTGGGCGTGCCTGAACAATGTGACGGACGTGCACGGGACCCAGTACAATGAGCAGGAGGCGTACTTTTTCGCGGAGGTGCTGAAGTATCTGTATTTGACGTTTGACGATCCGAGCAACATCTCGATTGACGAATGTGAGTCGCGTTCTTTGTTTGTTTGAAAGGTCTTGGTGAGGAGTGGTGTGCTGATTGCGTTGATGTAGACGTGTTCAACACGGAGTGTCATCCGTTCAAGGCGCCCGCTGCCAAGTCGCAGTACGGGTCGGGCAAGCTGAACGCGCCGTCGCAGCAGCCGTTCGAGACGACCTCTGGGCCTATTCCCGAGGTCTCGAGCAGTCATAATTGAACCGGGCTATCTTGGAGCTAGTTTTCTGTGATCATACTACGTTGTACTTGGAGGTCCAAGGGCGATACGGTGCTAAGGGGTTCTGAGACCGGACTCACTGGAGATCTTGGACTACTTTTGGGGATCACTCATAGTAGACGGTTATCCTTATTCAATCTTATCTTCCTTGATAACAGTAGAATGTTGTGTGCGAGTTGTGTACCCAGTGCCGTCGTCTCGTTCTCGTCTCGTTCTCATCCTTTGCAAGCGGCCCCGAATCCAATTGTCTCGATTGGCGAGCGGCGTCTTCAGAGGGGAGAAATCTCCGATATTTAGGCGTGCGTACAATACTGCACTACCAGTCCTTTTGCAGACGACCCGCCTCCTGCCATTATCAGTACGACCTATACCCCGGATTTGCTGTGAAGAGGGCCTGGTCAGCTGGCCATGGGGGTATTTTTGCTTGCTCGCTAAGCCCAAGGCCTAAGGGCAAAAGCAAACTTACGGCGTCCGTTTCGCCGAGGTACTTCCTAGAGATAGGACATACAGTACTTAGCATCTGGGCTCAGGTGAGACTGAGAGGCTCGAAGACACTTTCGCACTACCACATCATGATTATCGCCGTCACAGGCTGCAACGGGCGCGTTGGCCGTCGCGTCGTCCTCTTCGCCCTCAAGGAAGGGCACACGGTCGTTGGGATCGACTCTGCGGATGCGGCCGTGGACCTCATCAAGGATGAGCCTGGGTTTAGCTTTCGCCAAGCGGATCTGAAGGACTACGATGCAACGGAGGAGGCATTGACGGGCTGCGAGGCCGTGGTGCAGTTGGCTGGGGCGCCGCATCCGAAGGACTGGAAGACGAGCACTCACCACACGTATGTACGACGGCGCGGTGCATGATCGTGACGGAGAGTGACGTTGGTACCCAGGAACGTCGTCATCACTTGGAACATCCTTAGAGCTGCAGCGGAGGTAATGTTTTGATGGAAAGGGCGGTGGTTCAGTTGCGCTGACGCTGGCGGTTTAGCTCGGGATCAACCGTATCTCGCAGGCATCATCCGTGAATGTGCTGCGAGGCGTGTTCAGTGTCGAGCCGAAGTTCGACTACTTCCCCATCGACGAAGATCACCCGTGTCTCCCGGACGAGCCATATGGGCTCTCGAAGCTGTAAATTGCCGTTGCGATTCAACAGACTTTTACTGATGCACGATCATATGTCTCTGCAGCGTAGCTGAGATGCAAGCGGACACGATCATACGGAGATATCCGTCCATGCGGGTGGCGAGCATCCGTCTACACTGGTCCGTTCCCAGCCGGAGCGATGCGTTCAGGAGGGACTACGCCAAGTCAAAGGGGGACCTGTGGAGTTACGTGCAGCATGACTCTGGCGCGGAGGCATTCCTGAGGGGGGTAACCTCGAGCGAGGAGAAGTGGGCGGGGCACGAGAGGTTTTTCATAGCGGCGCCCCGCGTTGCAGTTCCAGATGACGAGGGTTGGCTGGAGTTGAAGAAACGGTACTTCCCCGACGTGCCTATCAGAGAAGGCTGGGTTGAGAGCAAGAAGGGGAATTTTTTTGACTGTAGCAAAGCAGAACGGCTGCTAGAGTGGGTGCACCATGATTATGCCTAGTAACTGTGAATGCAGAAATTATCGAACTGTACAGCCTATAGATTGCCCGTGCCTCAGCACAAACACGAGATGGAAGGAAAACCATTATCTAAGGCCGCGGATAATGAGTGTATCTGAGCCATGCAGAGCGAAATGTAGCTGGAGTCTCGGACCGTTGGGGCCTAATGATCTGAAAGACGCCTTTGTTGAAACTTCATGCAAGGAACAAAAAAGGGAGAAGCCCAAAGAGAAGAAAGCAAGTGATAGGACTCAAACGGGGTAGCAAGGTAGCAAAAAGTGGACACTGTGGGAGTCGAACCCACGACCTTACGCATTCTCGAGATGCGAAGCGTACGCGCTACCAACTGTGCCAAGGGCCCGGTTGAAATAGGGTGAAAGGTACGCTATATATAAGCATTGTCAGGGACGCAATTACGCAATACAGATTACTGGCGCGTGAACGACGCGTGGACCCCCATGTCCTTCATCCAGCTCTTGGACGCATACGACAAGATACAATTTCTCTTTTAGCCTTCCGGCACGTTATCAACTCAAAATCAGCCAATAATCACTCAAGAAGTACAACATGTCGGGCGGAGGAAACACACTTGGAGGTGAGGGTGATGGCAGACGCGAGCCTCTGCCTTCGAACTGGGCACGGCCATCGCAGCCTCGAGTGGGCCGCATAGGCGACTGGAACAACTCTGGCGGATCCACCTCGTCCTCTAGGTATGTACAGAGTCCCGTACGATGACGATCGGCCCATTTATACTGATTGACTGCAATCTCTTTGTTTACCCCTTGCGCACGCTGTGCCCTCGCTCCTCGCCCCATGCTGCACATTGTGATTCAGGTCGGCTAGCGCCGGGCGTTTTGCGACGCTCAGCGATCTCTCGTCGTCGGCTCAGCCGTCGCGCCCGCCTCCACAGAGGCATACTTTTGAGGATGACGATGACGACGATGAAGAGGCGGACAGGAGGCGCGGAGGGGAAGACTGGTTTGCGGGCGGCGAACGCAGGTACGCTGCTTCTGTATCCGTTCTGTATCTAGCGCAATACTGAAGAGGACGCATAAAGCGCTATATCGGTGCAGAACCCGAATCGTGGGCCTATGCAGCCTGGCGGAGACGCGGTCCAGGATATTCTCCGCCGTGCAGCTGAGTGCGTCTTGGTCTTTTGGTCATCATATAGCTCTAAATCTGACTGCGTCTTTGGATCTGATTAGAGCTGGGCCACCCCCTGTAGCCGTTGGCGAGACGACGCGGTCCTCGTTCTTTGGTGGAGGCCACATGCTTGGCAGCGACGAGGTCGAGAGCGCATACATCCCTGATCCCAATGCCCCCGAGCCTGGTAAGCTACTACCTACGGTCGGTAGCATGTGACGATTCTGATCATGTACCGCAGAGGAACAAGAGACTGCAATCCGGCACGTCACGTTCTGGCGCAATGGTTTTAGCATCGAGGACGGCGAGCTCCTGCGGTACGACGATGCGCAGAACCAGCAGCTGCTGGAGGCTTTGAATTCGGGGTATGTGCTCCCGATTTTCTGTCACACTTACACACCTTTTCTGATGCTGATACAATTCTCTTGCATCGAAGACATGCGCCCCTCGCCATGCTCAATGTTCTACCTGACCAACCCGTCGAGCTGCGCATCGCGAAGCGTTTGGACGAGGAGTACGTCGCCCCGCCCAAGGAAAGCAAGCCGTTCGGCGGCGATGGAAATCGGCTCGGGGCACACACGCCCTCGTTCACGTCGGCATCTGCTTCCTCTGGCGCTGGGCCATCTTCGGCGATGCCCGGCTCGTTCCCCGCCGGACCGTCCTCCGCGACGGCGCACAGCGGCGCTGGGTCGATGGGCGCAGACAGGGAGAGCGTGATAAACAGGTTTGAGGTCGATCAGTCGCTGCCGACGACGACGGTGCAGATCCGGCTGGCTGACGGGACGAGGTATGCGCATGCATGCATGGCTGGACTTCACTCGGTGTGCTGATTGGCTGGGTTTGTTTACTTTTAGAATTCCGTGCAGGATGAACCTGCATCATAATGTTGGGGACATCAGGAACTTTATCAATGCGTACGTGTGGTTGTTCCCGTGGGTATCTTCGCGCGATGCATATCTCACTCTCGTGGTTTCCGCAGATCTCGTCCGGAGAATTTGGCGCGGGAGTATACTATCGGCACGACGTTCCCTAACCGGACCCTTGAGGACAACACTCAGTCGATCAAAGACGCCGGCCTTGCCAACAGCGTCGTCGTTCAGAGGTGGGTGTAATGAAGACAGTCGAAGAGTATAGTGTAGAGTAGTGTACGGCATTTGCACAAAGAATGCACAATGCGGATGATGTTCTTGTGATCACAGCTGACTACCGTCTAAATCGCATCGATGTGAGACACATTTGAAGACGATGGGGTATGCAGCTTACACAGCGAAGTACGGCATACTTGGACAAGTATAGGTCAGTCTGAGGGCGATTTAGAAAGAATGTGTAATGTCTCGGCGTGTTGAGCAACTTGGCGTTTGTGAGACAATTCAAGGTGGAATGCATCAACGAGCAGATATGGAGGTGACTGACAACCCGGATAACGATGCCACCGCCAGCAAACACGCCATAAGCCAACGATCCCAGAGCCCGCGTCAACAGTGGCCGTACGACACGCTCCTAACGCGCTTCAAATTGCAAAAGGGTATCATGCGTTATTCAATTCAGCGAGTCAGACTACGACGATGACAGATGAAAACATTGTAGTCAAAAGGAAAAAGGACGAGAGAGGTACGGGAGAGCTAGAGAATAGAAACTAGAGAATAGAGACGGTGGAAATGAACGTGTGTGTATGGCGTGAATCATCCGCTCCGTACGTAGAGTAGGATGGGCTAGATATCCGTTGGGAGTCATATGTACCGGCACAGGACAGGACAGCACGGTGCGCTGTTGATAGCGATACCGCGCGTTATGGAGCTGCAGGGTCGAAAGGAAATAGGTGGTGCGGGATACTTAGATAAAGAGAAAACGGAAGTGGAAAGTGACTCGGAGGTTAGAGAGAGAAAAACGGCTGGTCGTGGCCCTGCTGTTGCTGCTGCTGCTGATACTGCTGCTGCTGCTGCTGTTGCATCTGCTGCATCTGGAACGGGTTGTGGCTCCCGCCCGTCTTGGTCGCCGCGATCCGGCCATGGTCCGTCTGCCCGTACCTGCAACCGATTCAACCACAGTCAGTTCGAGCACACCGCACCAGCAGCGGTCCGCGCCTGGAGGAACCAGAGCCAGCGCCCAAAGTGAAATGAAAGTGCGTACCTGAGCAAGCCGACGTTGCCGAACGTGTCCTGCCCGTCGTCGCGGTTCGCAAAGAGGTCCGCGAGGTGCGCGTGCTCCGCGTCGGCGCGCGTCGGGCGCGGTCCCGTGCCGTTGCGCGACGGGCCGCCGGCGGCGGAAGCGGATTCGGGCCTGGGGGAGGACGCTGCGGGGGAGGGTGAGCTGAATGCGGGGGCAGGCGAGTTGGCGTAGGTGCCTTGGAGGTTGAAGGAGGGTCCGTTGGATGATGAGACGGAGGTGTTGAGAGAGGGCATGGGGGGTGTGGGGGATGGTTGGGCGGGGGCAAAGGGGTTGTTGGAGCTGTGGGGGGACGGTGCGGGGTCAGGAGGGTCGTGTCATGGGCAGATAGGGATGGAAGTGTTGTGCTCACCCGAAGCCTGTAGGCTGCGCCATGAGCATTTGCTGCTGTTGCTGCTGCTGCTGCATCTGGGCGAGTTGTTGCTGGCGGAACCATTCCTCCTGCTGGGCCTGTTGCTGGGCCTGCATCTGAGCTTGCATTTGCTGCTGCTGAAGCATCTCCTGTTGTTGTTGCCACTCCTGCTGCTGGCGGAAGTATTCCGCCTGTGATCGGTCAGCACCACACGCAACGGGGTATAATTAGGGCAAGTGGCGCACCTGCATGGCCTCCTGCTGGGCTTGCTGTTGGTACGGGTTAAACGACGTGAACTGGGGCTGCATCGTATACTGTGGGTTGAGGCCGGTGGCATATGGAGTGGGATCGACAAAGGGAGCGGAATTGTTGCCGTTTGGCGAGCTGCAAAACATGTTCAGTATCACACGGAGGTCCAGTCGATCGAGCGGGGACATTGACATACAGTTGGTTCTGCTCGTCAAAGAGCGCATTGGCGTTCGAGTCTTCAACGGCTTTGTTGCGCTTCGACTCCTCCTCCTCGCTCATCCTGATCGCCTGGGCGAGATCGTCGTCCTCGTGTGCCTTGCGCTGCTCCTCCGCGAGCGTGCGCTTGCTCTCCTCGATCGCGCGACGCAGCTCGTCCTCGTCATCCGGTCCTCCACCACGGCGTCTCGGTGGCGCGCCCACGGGCGGAGCGTACTTTGCGCTGCCGCCATCTTCGTCTCCGGGGCCGCTGCGGACCATGCGGTCGCGCATGCTCGCGCGGGAGCGGCGTTCCTCGCGGAGGCGGTTCTCGTCGACGAGGAGGTTGGTGATGTCCTTGGCTTTCTGGCGGACGTTGACGCCCTGGTCTTTGCCATCCTCATCGACGTACTGGAATTCTTTGAGTGTCTTGATGATGTAGACGTTGTCGCGGAAGTAGATGACGACATTCTCGGAGCCGGCGTGCAGGCAGTAATCGAGCACGGTGAGCGACTGGCGGTGCGCGTGATTTGTGTTTTGGAACGAGAAGGTGTGGTGTGCGAGCCAAGTGTAGTGTAGGAAGGTTGCCGGGGATTGAAGTGTGTGAGGGGCGTTGGACCAAGGGCACGTCAGCAGATGGAGCGCACCTTGAACACATGCCGCCAGTTCTTGCCCTTGTCGTTCAGTCGTTTATCGAGCATCTCCATGATCTCCACAAAGTCACCCCTTGTATGACCAAAAAAAGTCAGAAACGGTCGTTGTGCAGGCGTGCGCTCGAGAAAGCAAGGACGGACTGGTTGTATGTGAGCTGTGCGATCTCGTTCATCTGTGTGCCAGAGGGGCCCCATGGATCGTTGGAGGTGGCATCACGGACTTTTGCCTGTGTTTCTGAGTAGCCCTTTGTGTAATTCTTGGCTACCCGGAGTGCGCCCTTGCCAAAGTGCTGTAGCGACATCGAGGAGAGGGTCAACGTTAGTGGGACCGGTGGCTGTGCTATCTTGAGCGCAGCAGCCTTCAGGGGGTCGCAAGTTACCGCGCCCCTTTGTGCTCGCTTATGGAAACATCTGGACGGCGACGGAGGACATGACAAAAGGAAGTACCGGAATGTTCTGGCGTTGTTCTTACTCGAGAGTCTCCTTTGGAGATAATCAGCAAACTAGCTGGACACAATCTCTTGACCGGCGGTAATTGAAGTTCGACAAGTCTTTACCAAGTTTTTGAGATTTGTCCAATTCGCAACTCATTATCTTACCCTGAGAGCCAAATCCGAAACTCGAACATTGACACCATATGTCAGCCATGTGGTTCTAAAAAGGACCCAAGTCCTCGGAGCGAGATTTTCTTTCATCTTGCTTCGTTGCCTTTTCACGCTATGTCGTCGGAGCCGGAGGTAGACGCCTAGGCCTCGATCAATACGAAGAGGACACGAGCGTGTTTGCAGAATAGCACAACCTCCACCGATCTGCTCGGGATTCATTTAGACAATCGGCTAGCCGACTCGGTGAACCAAGGAAACACAGTATATCAGCCTACTCGACGCATAATATAAGGTAGAGCAACTGTGATAATGATAACCAAACAAAATCAAGAGGACATCAAGGAACCAGCAAAGGAAGTACATCGTACTTCAGCTTGAGCGATCAAAACGAGAAGAACGGCTGGTTTCCGTTCTGCATCTGCTGCTGCTGCTGCTGCTGCTGCTGCTGGCGCATCGCAAACGGATTATGCCCGCTCCCGCCCGTCCCCGTCGCAGCAACGGCCCGCCCAGCGTCCGTCTGCCCGTACCGAAGCGCACCGACGTTCCCAAATGTGTCCTGCCCGTCGTCGCGGTTCGCAAATATATTCGCGAGGTGTGCGTGCTCCGAGTCCGAGCGTACAGCCGCGCGCGGCGTTGTCGCGCCCATCCTCGATCCGGGGCCAGGGCTCGCGTTCGCGTTCGGATTCCACCCACTGCCGTTTGTTGGCGGAGGTGGCGAGCCCGACGACGCGCCGAAATTGGGCGTTGGCGATGCGATGTTGTTGCCAAAGGCGCCGAAAGGGCCTTGCGGGCTTTGTGAATAGCCGTTCGGGGGTCCTGTGCTGCCAGTGGAGAAGGTGGGGAAGGCCGGGATGGGCGGGGAGGACTGCTGTGCTGGTGCAAAGGGGTTGTTTGAGCTGAACGGGTTTGGCAATGTCAGCGTCATTCAGATGTAGGATTGGTGAGAGGGAGATATGATGGAGCTCACCCGAAGCCTGTCGGCTGAGGCGCAAGGGACATCTGTGGCTGCTGCCCATATGGCGCCGTCTGGGGTTGCTGCTGCTGCTGGAACCACGGATTGCCCGTGGCCTGCGCCTGCATCTGGTGTTGCTGCATCATCTGCCACTCTTGCTGCTGGCGGAGGTAATCTGCCTATGGAATCCGTGCCGATTAGATGCGTGATTGTGGACGGGGTGATGACACACCTGCACGGCTTCCTGTTGTGCCTGCTGCTGCCATGGATTGAAGGAGGTGAACTGAGGCTGAAGACTTGCAAACTGTGGCTGAAGACCATCGCTAGATCCATCGGAGACATCGATGAGCGGGAAAGGGTTATTGCTGCTCTGGGGACTGCGTACAACATGTAAATTCGGAAGTGAGTTCGAAGAAGGGAGTGTGCAGGACATACACTGCTACAGGTGCTTCCGAAGGCGGCGGCGGATTCTGGGCGTTGGCTTTCCTCCGTGCCGCTTCCTCCTGGCTGAGCTTGATAGCACGCGCAATGTCCTCGTCCTCGGTCGTCAGCCGCCCATACCCCGCCTCCGCATCGTACGCCCGTTTGCTCTCTTCGAGCGCCCGCTTTAGATCCTCGTCTGCATTCCGCTTCCTGCGCCGCCTCGACACCCCGCCACTGCCATCGGCGCCAGGCTGGGGCGAGGAGTCTGCCGCTGGTGTAGCGGCTGCGGCTGTGGCATCCGCGGAGCCGCCGGGCATGCCGCGGATCATACGGTCGCGCATGCTCGCGCGGGAGCGGCGCTCATCGCGGAGACGCTGGGCGTCGGTGAGCAGGTTGGCGACGTCTTTGGCCTTCTGGCGGACGTTGGCACCCTGGTCTTTGCCGTCCTCGTCGATGTACTGGAATTCTTTGAGGGTCTTGATGATGTAGAGGCTGTTCTTGAAGTATTGGCAGACGTTCTCGGAGCCGCTGTGCAGGCAGTAGTCGAGGACTTGGAGGGACTGGTGGCACGTGGTCAGATGGGTGAATGCATGGCGGGTGTGTGGTGAGATGTACCTTGAAGACGTGCCGCCAGTTCTTGCCCTTGTCATTCAGGCGCTTGTCGAGCATCTCCACGATCTCGACGAAATCGTTCCTGGACGCGTTCAATCTGGGCGCGTTTTGGAGGAAGAGTCACCGATGGAACGCACTGGTTATAAGTGAGCTGGGCGACTTGGTTCATCTGGGTGCCCGAGGGCCCCCATGGGTCGTTGGAGGTGGCATCGCGGACTAAGGCTTGTGTGTCGGAGTAGCCCTTGGAGATGTTCTTGGCTACACGGAGGGCGCCCTTGCCTAGGTGCTGCATGGGTGTTTGTTAGTGAACTGGAGCACGTCGTGCGGGCAGGTGAAGTATCGGTAACACGTCCGCATGGCTGCACGCCGGCCATTTGATCCTGACCAGACAAGGGCGACCGTCGCGGGCGGCTAATGTGGCTGTGTTTATCAGCGTCCCGGGCTTCCCGACTCCGGATGACGTCGCGTCAATGACTTCTCGATGGTCCCTGGGGAAACTTTGTCAGTCTTTTTTGCTTTTACCAACTCACCATGACCTTCTGGATACTGGCCAGGACTGGACGATGGCTTGCAACAGCACAACCGCAAAACATCAGATCAGTGTGTTGCCTAGGACGAAAGAGTGCGAGATGCCGATCAACGGCACCGTACCCGAGTCCTTTCCAACCTCAACCATATCTTCCAACTCGCTGATTTCACGACAGTGGCAAATGGCAGAGGACGAAAATCTCCACAGGATATCGAGGTACCTCTGTCGCGATGTCACGAAGAACCCTCTCGATTGAGTGGATGTCGATCTAGTAGGACAGTTCTGGACAGCTGTGGTGCTTCTTTGACATCTTGATTCTTGGAATAGCCGAACGTCTTTCCTTTTGGGTGCCATGTCACCGGAACACTCGTTTTTCCTCCCGTCTTCGGCAGCTGTCCTCGTCACCATGTGTTTGCTCTGGCACTGAGACCTCGAATGTTGGCTGAATGCCAACGAAGCCGTCTTTCGGCTTGTCATGGAATCGTTGTGTCTCCAAGAAGCTTACCATCACCTTCTCAGACCTTGGAATGTTTCGAGTTCTTATAAGAACCACGGAGAAGAACCCAGAAGACCAACCCGCTCACTTCCTCCGTCGTTCACTTTACTGCACAACCTCCACTCGCTACACAAGCACCATCCCATCCTGCGTTACCTCTACTCCAAAACACCCAACAGCTCCATCGCCATGTTCGCCCACGCCCTTACCATTGCCTCTCTCATCCTTGCCTCTGGCGCACTCGTCGTCCCCGACGAATATCATGGCTCCGTCGGCGCTGCGGGCTCCGGCAACGGATCTCTGCACTACTCGCCACGCTGGCATGGCAGCCACGGCGGCGGTCACGGTTCCACCTGGGGCGGCCCGGGCCAAACCACCGGTGGCAGCCAGGACGGCAGCTGCAACACGGGCTCGATCAGCTGCTGCAACAGCGTTGCGGATGTGAGTCGTTCTCCGTTCACCCCATATTATCTCAGCCACCAAGCTCATCAAATTGAATTGCGTTTGCTTCTGCTTTTGCTCGGCGCCTGCAGGAAAAGACATCGGCCGGCCTTGCCAGCCTCCTCGGCTTCGCTATGCAGGGCACTCAGGTCGGTATCAAGTGCTCCTCGGCGAGCATCGAGGGGACAGCCAGTGGTTCTAGCTGCTCGTCGCAGCCCGTCTGCTGCAGTGGCAACACTTGGGTAGGCCTTCTTTCTGCGCTTCTGGAAATCATTCTCACGGGACATTTATTGGACAGAACGGCATCATCGACCTGGGCTGCTCTCCTATCAATATCGACGCCTAAAGGGTGCTCGGTCAGGGCCTCTGCCTGCGAGAGGCGGCGAGCGGCGACTTTCTCTCGTTCGTTCTACACTACACTATACTAACGTACGGTCATTCCTTGTTCTCGGTCGGTAAACGTTTCCTTCACTGTTCGTACTTGTACCTCGACTTGTAGTCGCGCTATCACTAGTCACTGTCACTTGTTGGATCGTTGGATAATTGGTTGAATCATCTGTATCACCTTGAGCTTCTCGGTTTCTTCCTTTTGGTTCGAGGTCTTCGGCACCACAAGTACGAACGATCTGCATGTGGCAAGACCGGAAAGCAAGGAAACCACGGTTTGGTCGTGGGCTCTTAGATCTGAGTGTTATGATAGGACTCGACCCTAAAAGAAGTGGGAATCCGAATTGTTTATGGTTTGTTGCAAGGCGGAACTGCCAAGTATTGTGAATCCAGGGTCTATGGCCAGAAAAGGGATTTGCAATGCCTTTTTGGGAGCGGTGACGAGTTTATTTGGAAGCACCGGATGTCCCTGGATTTATTTTCTCTCTCGGTCATCTTACCATCACGATGCCGCATCGAAATACTCCCCTCCTTCGCACCATCATTTTCATTCACAATTCACAGGCCCTTTTCCTTGTTTGCTATGCATATATGCTCTTTTGGAGTGATACAGGCGCATTGACTGCACCACTCAGCCCGGACCTTCTGACGAGGAGCTTGATATGGGGGCGGGGCTCTGTCTATCCAGCTCTATACACGGCATAAAAAATAATCGGATTAAAATCTGAGGTTCTTCTTTTTCCAGCTATACCGTACCGCCCTCAGATACTAGCTATCACTAACTAAGGTTGTTCGCTTCCGTCTGAGGCGGTGGATCGCATGATAGATCACAACGACGTCAACCTTGCCATAATCTAGCATCCACAAAACTTCAAATTCTCAAACTCTCAAATTCTCAAACCTACCGCTTTGGATTGCTTATTGCTGTCTTTAGCCTGGCTGGCCGGGAATGCCGAGCAGAAGCTCTGTTTCATCTTCCGATCAAAGGAACCTCCTTACACTAGTACTGAAGCTGCTCTGCCGAATGCTCTTCGTCGCCCCAACGCTCCGAGTCCTACCCTCGAAACCGTGGAGGTTGTGGAGTCAAGTGTAGGCAACTGACTCAACCCTTCTCATATTTGCAGACTTCTTTTCCGCCTCTCTCTCCCCCTCTGTAATGAAAGTGCTATTCTGATCAGTCCGCTGGACCCTCTTTGGAGCTGCCTGTACGGGAATTTTCTGTGCCTGAGACTCTCCCGACGCCGGATCACGATTATTATCTTCGTCCTGTTGGAACTCCACAGCCCCTTCTCTAGGCCTCCAACTAATGTCTTCTTTTGCGGTAATATGCCATAACGATTCTCGGATTCACGCGCAGCGGATAGCGGGCTAGGGCGGGTATCGTACGAAGTACATGCGCTTCCATGATACTTTGATGCTTGCTACAGACTTCCGCTGCTTCTTTGCAGCCCTCAATCAACGTCTTTGAAATTTTGAAGCGTGGTGATGCCGTGCCTGTTGGAGCGCGCATCACATCGTGGGCGCCTCACGCTGCGTTAAGGTATGTCGCTGACTAAAACTGCGAAGGAGCGCGTGTGGCAGAAAGGCAAGTACGGTAAATTGTGGACAGGTGCACGCCTTCCGTCTGCAAATTGATCGATGGAATCTGGAGCTC